TTAGAATTACACAATGAATCTAGAATGTTAATCATTACAGTATTTGGAAATTCCAAATTTGGAAATCTCCCTGACTGAATTAACTAATTACCATATCATGTTATGAAATTAATAAATTAATAAATTAATAACTATGCTATTCAAAAATGAATGAATTTTGTTTACATTGTTTTGTTTTCTTAAATAATACAACAAAATATGTATTATACGTATTATGGTGTAACAATAAAAATGTAAATAAATACGATGGCTTTTTCACCAAAGATTGTGGAATTTAACCTAATAATTAATAATTAATAATAAATAATTCATCTATTATCAAATATCATTCTTTCTTTTCAAAGAGGGTTTTTTATATATTACATTAATACAATCAATCACACACAGCAGGACTGTGAAAATTTATCTTTACTTTTTAATTTTTTCGATTTTTTTCACCTTTTAAAAATGACTAATATTAATATTAATAAAGAATCAGTAAAGCAAAGCAAATTTTTAAAATTAGAAACTTACAAAAAATTTACAAAAAATCATATAATTAAACCATATAAAAAAAATCCAATTATCACGTCTGCAATTTATTTAATAATATTATCGAGCTTGTTATTATTTATTTTATTAGTTGGTAGTTTACAATCTGTTTATTTATCAAGATTTGTATTTGACGAGCCAATTCAAACTCTTATAAAGAAACAACAAATTTCATTCACTTTATATTCATACTGTCTCGATAACGTTTGTTCTGACCCTTCTTTTAAACATAATTTTGATCAAAGTAAGTAGTAATTTATTTTATTTTATATATATATGTGTGTGTGTGTGTGTATGCATATAATTTTTGGTTATTAATTGATTAAATTTTTTTTATTAAAAAAATAAAGTACCTTCCGTTGGAGAAATAGTTGAAGGTATAGGAAGTCAATTTACAAAAAGATTCATAGATCCAAGTAAAGTTGGAGATACAATTGGAGATACAGTTGGAGATACAGTTGGAGATGGTGTTGATAAAGCAAAAGAGTTTGGTAAAAATGCAGGAGATACAATAGCAAATGCTGCAGAAGATGTCATTAACAAAATAAATGAACTATTACCAACAATGCTGGATAGTATAAAAAATTTTAAACCACACGTGTCAACTGTAAACCTTCTTGGAATTTTCTCCATTCCATATTTAATAGCATTCTTGATCAATATAATCATGTTTCCCTTATTATATTTTAATTTCAATATATTAGTCATAGCATTATTGTTCCTTTCTACATCCTTTGTTGCACTTTCTTTAACCTTTGATATGTTATTATTTGTATGGGTGTTCGAAGCCGTTGCATTAATACCTGGTCTTGGTCAACAAAAAACTGGATCTGGAATTCATTTGGCTGCTTGGAGCTTATTTTTTTTAGCAGTAGCTACAATATTGATGATGATTGGTGTGTGTAACAAAATGTGTATTAGTGGCATTATCAAAAAACTTGGGAGAAACAAATTATCACCAAATGATGAAAAAAATCAAACATTAACTAGTGAAGTATAAATTATCAGCTATGCGTGAAATTCAAATTAGCCAATCAGAATTTCATCCCACTCCATAATATTTCAATTTCACATAATTTCAATTTCATATAATTTCATTTCAATTTCATATAATTTCAATAATTTCAATTTCATATAATTTCAATTTCACATACAACAATAATAGATGAATTAATTAATGTAATATTATATTTATTATGTTTATTATTTATGAAAATAAAAAATAAATATTATAAATTTATAAATTTTAACCCAATCTTGAATTTGAATTTTATATTATAAAAATTGAACTCTAAAGACAAAAAAGCCGGGCGCACTTTTAAACAAAATTGCATAAAATCACCATTTTGCAACTTAAGCTATCCAAATTATATATATATATATATATACGAAATTTCACATCTCTAACGTTTTTATTAAACAAACAAAAAAAAAAAAAATGAAAGCATAATGATAAAATTAAAATCTAATAAGTAATAATTTCGTTGGCCATCAATTATTGTCGATAACCACCACTTCAATTCTCTTTGGCATACTCGATCAATTTTATTAGAAATCATTTGTAATTTTTTTCGATTTTTTCTGATAATATCAATTTATTTCTAAATAGACGAGTTACTGCTTTTCTATGAACACCACCAATCTTAGTTATTTGGTGGTTCGCTATTTAAGGCAGACATTTTTTGGAGGAATTAATCATTTAAAATAATACTTGCTTACACATTTATCGGATTGTTTGTCCAATTAGTTTTTTGTCGGAAAGATTTTTGAGAAAATTTAAAATTTTGCATGTAGAGTTTTGAGAACCTAAACACCCGACTTTTGTCCATATGTAGATAAAACTAAACATTTGAAATATAACAAATTTTTGTTAAATAATAGTTTCAGCTTCCATAATATCTGTATCACCGTCAATATCAAGGCCAGGTCTAATCATCTTGGATATTCTATTGGCAAATGAATGATCCAAACTAAATCCTGATTGTAAAAGTGAAATTTCAAATAACGGTCATGTAGGATCTTATCATTCTTGTCAACTTCTACTTACATATGCAAAAAAGAAAATATGTATGTAACACGAAAAGCAAACGTTGATCAAAATAGAATTTCCACTATGCTGTCCTATTTTTCAATTCAAAATCGGAAAAATAATTATTTTAGTATTATTATTATTCTCACCCTTTTTATAGTTATAGTAATTAGTAATTAGTAATTAGTAATTAGTATTATAGTGTTAGTATCAGTATTGGTGTTAGTATTGGTGTGAAATTATTCCTAAAGTTTATTTAATTTTCCTTTATTATTATTTGAAGATTTCAAAATTTATTTTAAAAACCTTCCGAGCAGTTATGGATCAATATTTTTACAATGTCAACAAATGCTAACGAAGACAGGAAAAAGCTGAATGAATTATTAACGTATATTTTATTTATACATATAACTATTTACTTACATTGGAACCTATTTAGTGAAATTACTGATTTTAATATTATACATTATACAACATGATAGGGAGGCTTCCGAACTCGAAATAGACTTAAAGAAACAAGAACAGCAAAAACAAATGGTTGAAACTTTTATTGATTTTGACGACGAGAAAGAATTTTTACGTAATAGGTAGTATATATTTATTTATTTAAAAATAATTTTTTTTAAAACAGATAAACTTATTTATAATTTTAATCTTGATAAATAGTCTTAAAGATATTTATGAAGATATTATTTTGATCGATTTAAAAAAGGCAATAGAAAATAAAATTCAAGAAAAACTTTGGAGAAACATTTTTTATAATCATATTGAAGAATTAAAACATAAATTATTTAAAGTAATGCTTTTTAAGAATTATTATTTTAAATTTTTCTTTCCTTATTAATTATAATAAATAAATCTCTGGACTATTATTACTACATTTTCATCTAAAGATAAAACATGAAAATATCTCTGAATACCAAGCTGCTTATCATGAATTGTGTAGATATCTTGATTTAGGAACTGGCTTTTACCATACACTTGTCAATGTTTTAAAAATTCGTGAGAATATAGATTTGGATCGTATTGGAATCGGTAAAAATATATTTGTAAAAAAAATTTTATATAATTCTTTATTACAATACATGCTTAAATAGTTTTTTTTTGGTTTTCTTTCTAAATTTTATTTAGAAATCTTTTTAAACAGTATTAATACCCCTTCAAATGGGTCACGTTCTGCTAGCAAATTTAAAAGGAAGGAATTAACTGCAGAATTTATTCAACAATGTCTTATTCGTTTAGGTGACTTTGCTCGTTATCGTGTAGCTATTCTTGAATCAGACGAGAAACGTTGGGAATTTGCTAGACATTTTTATAATATGGCAGCAATGATTTATTGTGATAATGGTAGTAGTAGTATTTGTTGTTTGAATTTTTTTTGTTTTTAAAACTCTAAAACTGACTAATTATTGACAGACAAAAAATTTTTCAATACTAATTAGGAGGAGCTCAAGAACAATTAGCTATTTTGGCTTTCTATAATGAAAATGATTTGGATACTGTTTATTGGCATTGTTTTAGGTTTGAATTTTTATAAAAATAAAATAATAATAATAAATGGTTTGTTTATAACAATCATTAATGTTCAAATGCTAAATATATTAATTCTATTTTTATTGTTATACCAGTCTTGCAACAAAACAGCCCCCTAAAATTGCAGCAGACAACTTAAAATTATTTTATTCAAATTTTGGACAAAAAATTCAAGATAATAATTTCAACGATTATACAAAGTAATGTTTATTTGTGATTGGATATTATTTTTTTTTATGTGTGTGTATATATATATATAAATATTTTTCTTAATGTATATATAATAGAACTCAAGATTTTGTGGGAAACTTTCTAATTATACATTATTTTCTTTTCACTCAAGATCTTGAAGGGTGAGAATTAAAAAAAAAAAAAAACAATAAAATTTGAAATATATTTATAATCATTAATTAGGATATTAATTTTCTCTTCTTTTGATAAGATTATATCAAAGTTACATTGATCCTGAAGGAACTATCAATGATTTTGATAAATCGTTGCGAAAAGAAAAAAATAATAACACTAGACATTTAGGAAATACACTCAAGAAAATAATTTTTATTTTAATATTTACTTTGTGGGATTTACGTGGTATTTAAATTATTCTCGCTTATTACTTTTTTTTTATTTACGATTAATTACAAATTATAAAAATAAGTTTATATTTTAATTATTTAGCTCAAAATCATACTGTCGAACTTGGAAATTTTCAATCTTACATAATTGGCTTAGGATTTGGTTTTTTAGCGTCAGTTTTAGAAAATTTAAATTCCGATTGGAATAATAATAACATGGAGGATGATAATGAAAATGGTCAAAAAAATGGGCATGGTTTTTCGATAGCTTTAGAATGTATGCCAGTTGTTCCTCTTTGGTGTGAATATATTGGGACTTTTACAGATGTTTTTGGCCAATTATTCATCCATTCAAAGCCAAATGAAAAGGGTCTTGGTAGCTTTTTCTTTATGGTAATTAATTAATAACAATAATGTTGTTGTTGTTGTTGTTGTTGTTGTTCTTTATAAGTGATTATCTATTTTCTTGTTAAATCTGTTCTCTCTCATATATATATATATATATGTATATATATATATATATTTAGAATGTAAAAAGATTTTTTAAATCACTTACCGACCTCTTAAATTATTCGAAAATTTCCAAAATTTTAATGGAGAAAGATGACTTTGCAGAAATATCTAATATAGTTTTACCTGAAGATATTGAATTCTTAGGAATTGTTCCATTGCGTAATATACAACAAGAAAAAAATTTTACTTTTACAGGTAAAATTGATCACCTAAAAGTTAGAATGGCCAGGCTTATTATCTTTGCTAAAAAAATGGCTGAACTTAAGGTAAGATTTATTCATGATAATTTTCAAAATACCTTATTGTATTGTTTATAAATAAAAAAAATTTTTTTTGTGGATGGATTTAGTCTCTTGATATTTTTGGTTATGATCCTACGGGCGTATTCATGATGATAGATGAAGAAATGAAGGTACAACTATATTTGTATATGTGTGTGTATGTATATTTGCTCATTTTAATTATATATATATATATGTGTGTGTGTTGTTATTTAGAAAAAAGAACGCGAGCGTGTTATGAAATTGATGGCACAACAATTGTTACAAGATCAAGTGACTTCCTTGGAACACAACCTTCAAAGAATGGGCCATTCGCCTCAAAAATCTATTGTTGTTGGATCTAATAATCCTGTTTCAAGCAATAAAGAAGTTGTAAAAACAAAAAATTTACAAAAATTAAAGCAATGTGTTATTGGTAAAGATATAATGTTAAATCGTTTGAATTATGTGAAAAAATGGATTTCTGATAAGAAACATGTCGTGATTGTACCATTGGATGGTATGTTATATAGATATAAATACATACGAATGTGTTCTAATTTATAAAGCATAGTTATAAAGTTTATTTAATTATTTTATCATTGCTATTTTTTTATATAGTTATTGATTCATTGGATCTTATTAAAAAAGGCAACAATCCAGAAAATGCGAGAGCTAGAGAGGCGATTAGGTTTTTAGATCACCAACTTCTGAAACAACAAAATCAATCCAATAATAATAAAGAGCCAAAAAATAGTAACAACCATAATAATGATCATTTTATTCATATACAGAAAATACACGAGAAATTACAACAATGGTCTTGTGCAAAAGAATATATTAAGGTAGAAGATGATAATAAAAAACAAAATGTTGAGGATAAAAATATCAAGCAAACAACAGTTGATGATGATAGTGATGATAACGATGACAATATTCATAGTGATAATGAATTCGATATAATAGATGTACCACCAGAGTATCGACCAATTATAAGTTGTTGGCTTTATTTTTTGCATCTATCAAAGATTGAAAATGTTGATTTTGTTTCAGAAGATGAATTATTAATAAAATATGCAAAAAAATTTGGCATTTCTGTTGTTGGGGTTGGAAATATTTAAAAAATTACAATATTATTATACCAAAAAAAAAAATCAAGGTATTATTGTTGTCGTCATTATCATTTATTATTATTTATACATCAGGTTTGTTCATTTAATTTATATTTCTTTCTCTCTTCTTAATAAACTATTACTTAATACTTGTTCATAATATTGTAATTTTGAAATTGCATCTAACCCATTTTCACCTCGATTATTTACTATATTTAAATTACAATTGTCCTTTAACGATGATGATGATGATGATGAATCAGTCATTGTGTCATTTTTGGTCATATTCTGAAGGTGAGACGTGATATTTTCGTATGAATTATGAATCGTTTCATAATATTTTAAAAACTAAGTATATTAAAAATGATAATTAAATGATGTAAGAATTATTTTTAAATCAGTTCAAGATTTTTTTTTTTGAAACTTACACCATGTAATTTATCTAGTTTTGTATTTGCTTCTAATATTTTATGACCTAAATATTCAAAAAAAGTTTTTCAAATACCTTCCTTCATGTATTGATTAATGGATATAAATCTTACCATCAAAAACAACATTGTTGCCTTCTTTAGGATTTTTAATTTCTTTATTTGTCCACAATTCGATTTCATTTTCATAGATTTCAGAAAATTTTGCAAATTGAGCCAACAGTTTATTAGATATAGTCTTCAAATTTTCACATGTTTTGCTATCAGAATTCATTTCCTCTTCCTCCTTAATTATATTATTAGATTGAATCTATGCGCCAAAAAAAGACCAAAGTTCAAAATATATTAAAATTTAAAACCTTTGCAATGATTACTAGTTTCTGTTCAGTAGTTGCAAATTATAATATGAAACCTCTTTTTGTTCAAGGATCAACTTTTTTTTTAAATCTTGTATTCTATTTTTTTCTTTCTCCTTTAAAATTTTGAGTTCTGATAAATCCACTTTACTTTTATGTTTAATATATGGTTAAATTGTTAGAAAACGCGTAATTTTTAATAAAGATTTTAATATATTTTATTACCTCTTATCATCATTATTTTTTTCCATTGAATTATTAAGCATTGTTGTTATGTCTTCTGAAAACAATTCGAAGTCTTTTTTCAAAACACTATTTAACATTTCGCGATTTGTAATTATTCCATCCATTAAAATACTTGATTTAAAAATTTCATCCATTGTTATTAAAACCACAGCGAACATTGTGTCACACAGGATTACAGGGTTTACTTATGGAAATTAATTTATTGATTGAAAAATTTGCCATTCAACAACTTATTTTTAGAAAATCGTGATTTTCCCAAGTTAAAGAGAATTTGGATAATATTGTTAATATATATACAACTATTGCTTGATGCAAATTCAAAAAATTATAAGTTGGTGGTCAAACACCCATTTTTATACTTGTTTGTTAATGTAAATAATTTTTATTGAATATTGGAAAATTATAAAATAATAATATTGAATGGTTAAGTTTGCTATATATATATATTTTGTATAAAATATGAAATAATAAAATAATAAATTGACCAATCTATTGATAATTTTAATATACATGTAGCTCAAAGTGTTTTGCAGATGTCAAGAGTCAAAATTATTCCAATGCAAAAAGTACTAAAAACACGAGTGTAACACCCCTTTATGACAGTGTCAAAATACTTTGGGCTGCATGTGTAATTTTTAATTAACTATTTGAAGTTGTCCAGAGCTTTAGCCCTTTCTAATTCAGCATACTCGGCCAACTCTCATAGAAGAGTAAATCTGACAGCAAATTGAATGTCTCTTAAAGTTATAGTTGATCTTTGGTTGTGAGCTGCTATTTTTAGATTAAAGATGACTCTTCAATTAATTGCGGCATATAAAAATTGAATTGTTGTGGCATATGAAAATTGAATTGTGGCTAATTGTGGTTTCCATCTTTAGTTTAGATGCTTCACAAGAAATCTTTTCAAACATGTCATTAATGAATGATAAATCTAAATCAAGCAATCCGTAATGTTCTTCTTCATTAACTCTGATTTTCATGGTTGATATAATTATTAGTATTGTTTTCTAGATACATTTATTTAATTACTTCTCTTATCAGATCGCTTACCAATAACTTCAGAATATAAATTTTCAGTACTAATATGTCCTTTTAAAGCTTCTTCCATATTTTTTGGGGATCTGTCTATGGTCATTATAACATCATTCTGGCTGACATTATTAACAAAACTAAAAGGGCAAGTTCCAGATCAATAATCACCATTGCCACTTTTTAAATAACTAAAGGAGCTCTTAAATTTTCTTCGCTCTTATTAAGGCTCCAAATGAAACGAACCAAATCAAATCAAATTTGAGAGTGATTCAATTCGATTTGATTTGAATTCAAAAAAACAGGATCAAATTGCTTCAAATTAAATCAGATTCCTATAATTTTTTTAACATCATATTAAATTTATATTACACAGTGAATCTCAATTAGTGTGCCTCCATTTAATGAATACTAATGGATTGAGGTCTAAGAATGGTTTAATGATAATAATAATGGATTTCTTGATATTAATATTAATATTAATGGTCATGTGACCTATATTATTAATAATGAGTAAAAAAGTAATGACTTACAGTTGTACAATTCATTAAATCCAAAATAATAAGTACTAATATTACCGATGCTTCTTCAACTTCTCAATTTCTTCAACAAGAGATGCAATTATTGCTCCAGGTAAAATTTTTTTTTTGAATTTTACAATATTGTGAGATAGTAAATCTTGGACCTATCAATTACCCGGTTAATATTGACCAATTAGAACGAATTTACTACGGAAGTCATGTGATGAACTAAATATTATTATTATTATTGTAATGGCTACGCCGCACATTGCGCAGTGTCATATGAAAGATTATTCCTATTCATATTATATTTATTAACCTTCTCATCTGATGTAAATTTTTATTTAGAATTAGTAATTAGTTGATAAGCATATTATTGGAGAGTAGAGTAGCACACATCACATTATTTGTACTCCCCCAAGAGGTATAAATACACTTGGCTTAAGACCAAGTTAATAAAAATGGGACACGTGAAAAGGATGGGGACGGGCAGGTGTGACTTGAACCCGTCCCCGTTTTTTTCACGTTCGGCCCATTAATACTAGAAAAGGACGGGCAATGGTCAGGTGTTTTTCAAAATAATTAAAAAAGGACGGGCGTGGCGCGGTTAAGGCACAGCAATCTGTCCCCCGTCCTTTTCTATTATTCATGGGGAAATCTCGAGAAGGACGGGTGAAAAAGGGACGGGTTACTGTGCCATTACTGCCCCGTCCCTAATGTTTTCTTAAAAAGGACGGGCATTAATAATAATTGGAAAATATTATATTATTATGTACTAGCCATAAATTCATATTAATATTAGTAATAAAAAATAAATTGATATGTGCCAAAAAATATAATAAATCTATTACTAAATAAATGTGGCATTGGCATTCATCATTTGACAATCTTGATTAGTACCAAATAACAATGCATTTATTATTAAAAAAACATGGCATTCATTTTGATTAGTATTAAATTTGAAGTTTTGTATTAAAAAGGTTATTTATAGCAGTGGCAACAATCAACATCTGAATCTAGATTTTCATGCTTTTTGACACTAAACAAAATTGCCAATTCAAATTTGTTCTATAATATATTAAAATGAACTAGCCATAAATTCATATTAATTTTAGCAATAAATCCATTATTAATAAATGTGGCATTGGCATTCATTATTTGACAATCTTGATTAGTACCAGATAACAATGCATTTATTATTAAATAAATGTGGCATACATTATTTATGATCTTGCATTCATTAATTAAAAAAATGTAGCATTCATTTTTGATTAGTATTAAAATTAACAATTAAAGCTTTGTATTAAAAAGGTTATTCCCCTTCTATTTATATTGGTGGCAACAATCAATATCTGAATATATATTTTCAAGATGATTAATTTTTAGCAAAGCATCTGTTTTAACAATATTATGAATTATTCCAATTTTTTTTTTTAGCAAATCCACACAATAAAAGCATTTTCTATTATTTGTATGATAAAAAACCTGGTTGCAAAAACATATAAAATCTTTGATTTATTTATCTTTGAAAAATAAATACATAAATTTATCTTATCTTCAAAAAATAAATACATAAATTTATCTTGCCTTCGAAAAATAAAACAAATTTATCTTCAAAAAATAAAACACAAATTTATCTTATCTTCAAAAATAAACACAAAAATTTATCTTATCTTCAAAAAATAAATACATAAATTTATCTTACCTTTGAAAAATAAAACAAATTTATCTTATCTTTGAAAAATAAATACATAAATTTATCTTACCTTTGAAAAATAAAACAAATTTATCTTACCTTTGAAAAATAAAACACAAATTTATCTTACCTTTGAAAAATAAACCATAACTTTGTCTTACCTTTGGAAAATAAATACATAAATTTTTTAAAAGAAGAAAATTTTATATTCCTCTATATTTCTTTAATATCATTAATCTCACTTTACTCAATAAAAATGAATAAATTTGCTACTTTCATTAAAGATTTTGAAGAA